CACTTAAATAAGCTTAATCGTTTCGGGAAAAAAAAACCGCTTGTAAATCTAGCTATCAGCTAAGACATCGATTTTCAAAAAAAATTAAGGATGAGGTCAAATTGAGTAACATAAAAATAAAGTCAAAATTGTTAAATATTAAAAATACCACAAGTCATCAATATAAAAAAGAGATTGTTGATCGAAATTCCATGTTCCAAAATTCAATTATGGTTAGCAATTTTAAAAAACTGACATAATAAATATAATAAATATATATTAAGGTATATATAAGATAAGATGGCATTTATCTAAGTCAAAACAACAAAAGAAAAAATTAAATGTGTCAAATCTAGTTAGTTATAATTTTAGCCCATGGTAATGCTACATATGGAATTAAAATTATCTAATATGATGTTGAGTTAAATATTTGAACGACTGTTCAAACATTAACAGTAGAAGTGAACTAGAAAACTGAGAAAACAAATTTTCTTTGCAAAAACATACTTATATAGAAATTGTAACTCGCGCAATTATTAAATAAATTTTAAAAAACAGAAAGCCGTTTTAAAGTAGTACTTATTTAATTGTAAAATTGGGAATAAATTCAATATCATCGAGTTCTTATTCTTACATGAAAAAGGGTTAAAAAGTTGAAACTTGGAAATGATTAATTGGAATGCAAAAATCTATAAAATGACTTTATCGTTGGTATATACAGGGTTAGTCACGAGAGAATTACTTCTGAAAATTATTTTTACGCAACCCAAAATACTAATACCCTGTACCACTTGATATTATCTAAATTTAAAATGAAATGCCTAATCCATGATTGCTTTGACTTTGGCAGTGTCACTTTGACGTTAATTAATTTTTAACATTTTTTTTCATCGTTGACTCGGCTCTAGAGCCCCATTGGATCGACGACATACGGTCAGATCAATCTGGGCTATACTGAAGCCGTAAGTGCTCTACCAATGTTGTTCGCCGCTAATGTGCATGTGTTAATTCGCCGTCTCTGCGTCACCTAGAGCCTCTTCGAAGTGCAAATCTGCAACCTCTGGGCTTCTTCGGCCATCTATTTACAAAAAAGCCGTAGCATCCCCCAAAATGCCCAACATTTTCAACAGATTAGTAGTTAAATTATTTACTTACTTGTTTGAGTTTGTGTTGTAACCTTTGAATAAAATGCCGTAAAAGGAATTTTTAGAAATAATTTTCTCGTGATTAATCGGTTGCAAAAGATCAAGAGGCACACTGACAAATTTATTAGCGGCGCCGGAGGAGATTTCCGACTGGCTACGGTACCACCACGGACACTCGCATAACCTCCTTTTCCACAATTGTCAAAATGAGATTGCCAAACTCAAAGCAATCATGGATTAAGCATTTCATTTTAAATTCAGTTAGTATCAAGTGGTACATGGTATTCGTATTTTGGGTTGCGTAAAAAAAATTTTCAGAAGTAATCCTCTCGTGACTAACCCTGTATCTGTGCTGGCGTGTCTCCAAATCAACTCTTTACTTCAAATGGACAGGAGTTTTTATTGTATACTAGAGGCAAACATTTAGTGCGTTTATGGCTTCACACCAATTTAACTCTCATTATAATTCAATCGGCCGTCACAACCAGATGTCTTAAATCCGTTTACTGATAACCTACCTGAAAAGACCTTTTCTGGTAAAATCACAGGGCAGTATTGTCTCGGCCGTCCCCGACACGTGGCATGCTTTGTATTTGCTAAGTTTTATGAAGGGTCGGGTGTACTCTAACCTCATTTGACATACACCTGTTAAAACTTTTATGACTTAAGCGGCTAAGCCAAAGCACCCTTATAAGTCAAACTGGCTATTGTAAGCTTTGTGGACCCGAACCGCAAGACTATTACTGTCCATTGTTGGCATAATGTAGCTGGGAACTGAGTTAAGTAAGACGATAGCCAGTTTGACTTATATAGGGTGGTTTGGCTTAAGCCGCTTAAGTCATAAAAGTTTTAACAGGTGTATCTCAAATGAGGTTATTTTAAAGTACTTTAAACGTAAAGCCATAAATGTACTAAATGTTTGCGTCTGGTGTATTTATTTAGTTTAGTGTCCACTGATTTAACACTCGTGAAATTTTCATAAAATGTTAAGAGAACAGAAAAAATATAGTTTTTGAAATACTCAAGAAACATATTCAATGTAGTTTTGGAATATAGTTTTTTACACGTTAAAAATGACGGTAGCAAAGGTACTTCAAAATTTATTTTTTTTTCAAATAATTGAAATATTATAGTAAAACAAGTACACTGAGAATCGCACGTTCAAAATTTTTAAGTTTTTAGCAAACAAATTCTCCACCCATAAAAAACATACCACATTCTACTTGAAAAAAAAAAACACTACTATCATTTCAGAAAAAAGTGATAGAACGTTAAAACTATATCACTTTTATACTTTTTTAGGTTAATTTCACCTTTCAAATTTCAGACTAAACTATACCACCTTTTCAAGTAATCGAGGCATTAATGAGGGATGGACATAAACGCCACGCGTTATTTATAAGTATCTTTAAATCATGCATTTATTTCATAAAAAAATATTCTATTCTATTTCAAAAGAAAAAGTATGTTATTTCCGAAAAACCAAAACGATATAATGCTACTCCTACATTTATTTTATAGATTTCTTTATGTTCATTAATTGTTCTAAATTTACATTTTCTAGTTGTTCAAATAACTTAAATATTATAGAGAGGTAGGTAATCTGAACACCCAGTACATATATAACCAAACGTTTACAAGAAGAAATTGCTTATACCTATCACATGAAAAGATTTTTAATTTTTTAAAATTAGTTCAATTCAAGTAAATTAAAATTTTTTATGTAGCCACGATTTTGATAAGAATATATCGCACTGTGAGAGCAATACTCACGTAAGTCAAAATTTGCCGAATTCTTAAATTTATCATTACTTTATAAAAAAAATTAATGTAGTTTTAGTATATGTAAGTATAAACGGCTTTTAATAGCTGCGTACTGTTCAAATTAATCAAAATGTTTGTATTGCATTTCCGAAAGTTACATGTGCACTTAATGCAAGACTGCCATATCTGAAAAATAAATAAAATCTAAGTAAGCTATCATGAAGCTTTTGAACACAAAAAATACACAATGTCTTCTAATATAGTTAAATCAAAGGTGAAGTTAGTAAATTTTTGGAGATCCATCCTGTTCAAGTTTTTATTTAATTTGGGATTGTTGTCCGCCTTTTGAACGTCTGGAGTGTATCACGAGGAGACTGAATGGTTATGGTTACATGTTTCGACTTTATTAATTTCAGATTTTGTATAAATCTCGGGCATTTTAATTATTAATTTTATCAATGTATTTTCATAAATTTTAATATCCATGTTACTAGCTTGTTAAACATAAGCTGATGATGACGTTAATTAATAAAGTCGAACATGTCGTAACCATAACCATTCAATATCCAAATGATACAGTCCAGAGGTTCAAGAGGCGGACAACAATCCCAGAGTGAAGTTAGTAAGTTACTGATACCAGTAATAGCTTCAGCAAGAAAAACTGGAAAGCCAAAGTTCATGAAGTAGAGCAGAAGAATATTTTTAATTTAAAAGAATTGACCGAAAACATGGGAATAAATTTTTCTTTGAATGTAAAAAAAAAAATTAAATACACCAGATTATAACACATTTTATAAAAATTTAGTCATAATAGATGTTGTATGAATTAATATTATGATTGTTTTGTATTTTGTTTTTTTTTTTTTTCATTAAAATGTGTTGCTAGTTTGCTCTTGTATTAAATTTATTAACACGCAAATCAAAATATTCGGTATTGTGTACCAGTGCAATAGTCACGTAAGTCAAAATTTATGTGCGATATTTTTGATATTTTTTCGCAAGTTTCGAGTCCGGTCCTGTTGTTAATTATGAATAACCGTTCAATACTCATTCATAATTTTAATTTTGTGTACAAGTTATCTTCTATTAAAATTAGAACAAAATCTAAACCAGCAATTGTTTTAATTGTCATCATTTTAATATGTAGAATACAAAAATGACAAGTAGGTTTCAAAAAATGAGAAGATAGGGACGCAGCTGGAAAATATATACTAAACGTCGTAACACTTTTAACACCATGATAAAAATTTTACATTCTTTACAAACCTTTATATATGTATACAGGTTTCAAATTTCCTCTTTAAATTAAAAACTACGGAAATTTGATATCTCGATTTGTCTTCGAGATATGTGCTGGTTGAGTATGACGCGTGACTTACCGTAACTTCACGTCGCTGCAATTTTTTTCTATGACTTGAACAATGTCATAAAAATATCGTATCAAAAACACTTTCTCATTTTCTCGTTTCATGTCATCGTCGTTTTTTTTTTAATTAACCTAGTTAATAAAAAATTAGAAAAAAGCATTCCAAGGAACTGTTAATGAGTCAACAACAACAAAGTTAGATAAGTGGTTTAGATCAAACGAATCCAGAGAAGGGTTTAGGCGTTCGACAAACGTTAGACGGGAAAATAATAGCTAATAACCAAGCAGGAGTTAAATTGAAGCGGTGTTTACTGTACCCAAGACTATGATAATGGATTTGTAAGTGTAAGACTGAAAAAATTAAGAGACATGCTCGTGTGTCTGTGGTTATTTTGTTGTTAATTAAAGCATGCCAATGTATGCATAATACATAATTCTTCACTCAAACAAAGAATTAAAAGGTATTATGCTGTGCATGGTCCCGAAAATCGTCACCTCAATGCACTTAAACATTATCATGCATTTGAGATGGTTGCCACTAAAGGAACATTTTTAAGTGCAGAGACTTTCCACCACGAGCCATGTGTCTCATGGCTGCGTGATGAAACCATCCATTTGTAATTATACACAAGTGGACTTGGAAAATGTCAAATTCGGTAATTACTGTAACAAAAACATGCGCTTTTGTTAACAAGAAACATTTCACCACCATTCCGACTTTTGTTAATAATGAAAACAAGACGTACTGTTATTCGCCATTAAATTTTCCTGCAACTTATCCCGCTGGTCTTCGAGGACTTCGCCCAGGTAACTCGCCACTTTTCGGGTTACTTGTTCCACGAAGGCGTCCAACTTTCCCAGATCGTCAGATAAGCCAACCAGCTGATCCAAAGTGCCCACCTGGAAGAGAAAATTTGCTTATTTTTCTAATAATCAAGACTATGAGAGTACAAAAAGGAACCTTTTGAGTTGTTCACAATATCAATATTAAACCCTCAGTGACCAAAACGATGTGTTTAAAATAAAAATTTTAGCAAACGAATCTGCTTTATACTTCCCGAGAGTAAGCTAAGGAAGTATAGTAATCGAGTCCATCGGCCGAATTGCCACTTTCATATTTTTCCGACGGAACGAAAAAAGTGGTCTCTCGTTTCAGTCTGTCTGGTGTCTGTATCCATTTTCATTAGACAATTAATCTTCGAAACTACTGGACCGACTGTTGTATACATGTATATTAGGAATATATTTGGCTAGTCATCCACACCATCAATGCAATGACCTTATCTCCAAAATTTATATTAAAAAGTTTTTTAAACTGTATGAAATAAAATACTCCTGCACTTCTGGTGTGTGAATCCGTGTCGAATTTTCACCTTGGACATTCAGAATTATTGGAAAAAATCAAAAATCGTAATCATGATAAATCGTTGAGCAACATTTTTTCGTTTATCCCCTCCCAAAAGATTGATGACGTCATCTCAAAATTTTGCCGAATAAATCCTATCCAAAATTTGCAAAATATGATGAGTCTATACTTGTGATTTATCATTACATTAAAATCTTTTAAATTTCTTATACCGGCTGACAAAAAAATAATAATCAATTAGTGAATTTATTTTATTGATTAAATCGGGAACGGCTCATTCGGTTTTCCTGAAAACTTGGGAATACAATGTTGTTATCATTAGTGTTACACTGCACCTATCCCAAGTGACATACGTTTTTTGCAAAAATGTTGATGACGTCATCACAAAATTTTGCAAAGTGAAAAGATATTTGAAACATTCGCGTTGCTCGCTTCTTTACATTTACTTTAATAGTATGTACTTACATATTTATTTTAATTATAGGGGTTTTCATAAAAAAATATAATCCGCAAAATAAAATTTTATAATTTTTCGAAAATGTTGGGTATGTTTCATAGTACATCAGGGGCGAAGAAAGTTTTGTCGAAACAACTTTCGACCAATTTTTACTTCCCGAGCGTAAGCAAAGGAAGTATTGTAATCGAGTCCGTAGGCCGACTCTCTACTTTTACGTTTTCTCGATTTTTTATGACCCCTAGGGAACGAAGAAATAGGTCTCCCGTTTCCGTCTGTTTCTCCGTCTGTCCGTCTGGTTGTCTGCCGTCCAAGATTTTTTTTAGATAGATAATCTCCGAAAGTACTGGATCGATTGTTGTGAAATTTTATACTAATACTACCTTTTCGCCCGCGGTTTTGCTCGCGTAGACGATTCGTTGTGTTGAAGAGCATTATTACCAATCTTCAAGTAGAAAATGTGTTGAAGGACATTAATACAATTTCCAGTAAACATCGACAGAAAAATATTTTTTCTCATAAAAATGTAAACATAAAGGGGTGGAATCTCGAAACAATCTGAAATATTTTCTGTGTTTCATTATTTCTGTTCAAGAGTATTAAAAAACCAAGTTCCCCGTAAAAATTTAAATTTACAGTAGAAATATTTTTCCCATACAAATTTTGCAACAACTTTTCCTTAGGAGTTGAATCTCGGAAAATGCTTAAACACGTGTTTCCTTATTTGTATTGAAGAGCATTAATATCAAGTTGCATGTAAAAATTTAAATTTACAATAGAAATATTTTTCCCATACAAACTTAGCCTCCACATTTCACTCCCTTAAGGGTTGAATCTTGATTTGATTTTTGATCAAAATGTGTTTGCTCATCCCCCCCCTAAAAAATTGATGACGTCAAAATTTTGCTGAATAAATCCTATCTTAAATGTGCAAAGTACGATGAAACAATACTTGTGATTTATCACGGCATTAATATTTTTTAGATCTGCTTATACGGGGTGTCTCAAAAAAAAAAGATTGAGTCAATTTATTTTATTTATTAAATCAGGAACGGTTCACTCCATTTTCCCAGAAAATTTTGGGAATACAATACTGTTATTTTTAGTATTACACTGCACCAATCCAAGTGTCCTTGTAAAAATGTTGATAACGTCATCACAAAATTGTGTAAAAGAAAAACTCAACTCGAAAATGCTGGATATGTTTCATTGCATTTCAGGAGCGAGGGAAGTTCTGTCGAGACAACTTTCGACCAATTTTTTTTGTTCTTTAGTATTGGCACTTTGTAGCTTTTTCTTATTTATTTAGCTCTATTACTGTTTACAAAAACTCTGGTCAAGCTAAACTACAAACAAAGGCTTCGAAGAAAACTATCAAAAGATTTGAAAATTATTGGTTATTTCCCATACATTCAAGTTTTTCTTTATTTAACCTCAAGCATAACATCAATAATAACATCAACAGAAAAAATAAAATTATTTTCTTATGTATTATAAATTTTTATTTCAAAAGTTAATTATTCTATTGAATTTTGACCATAGCTTATTAATCTTATAATAGACAATGTTATAGAGTATTGCCCCAAACACGAAGTAACAATGCATTTTTTATTTTATCCTTAATTAAATAGCCAAGGTTCCATTAAACGTTTGCTCCTTTAAAACTGCTCATATTTATAACGAAATTTATTCCCCCTTTTAAATCTTTTTTTCATTTTTATTAATTTTTTATACGAATACAAAAAAAAAACCTTTTTGAAGTTACAAGTCACATACTCCATATTTCAAAAATCCTAGGGTAACAATAAGTTGAAGAACTCCAATTCATGTTGTTCAAATCAATTTTAATAAGCTTGCTGGTAAAATTTCATTCTCTAATTCTAGTACACCGTGTATATGCAAGAACTGAATCTTCGTCGGGGCCGGGGAAAGTCGTCATTTAATTAATCCCTGTTGCAACAAAAATAGACCAGTGTTTGTGCGAGTACTACTTGTCAAAAGCAACAACAAACATTTACTTAACACTCTTTTCAAATGACGTCATCAATTTCGGGTTATATGGACACAAAAAAAAAACTTGATAACGGGTGATCAAAAAGTTTACAGATTAATGTACGCTATGAAAATATTTTTGATTTCTTTGATTAAATCTGTAAACTTTACAAACACAACAAATCGAAGCTGTTAAAATGGAAACCGCGATTCAAACGATTTAATGTTTCTTTTGCTCCAAAGCATAGGCCATTCTGAATTTTGAAAATAAACTTATTCGAAATTTTATTTGACAAGTTTGACTTTTGAAGGGTAAGGTTTAATCAAAGAAATGAAAAGTATGTTCCGAGCTTACCCCAATCTGAAAACTATTTGATTAACCTTTACTTCTTGATAACAGAATTACAATTATTATTATTAATAATGACCAAATGTGCGAAAATACATCTTTACATATTCCTTTTTCTAATTGTCAAAAAACAGTAAGACGTTTATTATTATTAGACAACATTTTACGAAATAGTTCGACATTTTATTCAAAGACGGTGGTTTAATAAAAAAGTTGTATTAAGAAATTGACGAAATTCCCGTCGTGGGTCCCAGGTTATGGATTACGTCTTCCCAGCAAATAATTTTAATAACAATTTTATTACCGTAACTTGAACTGTCTTAACTTTTTTTTTTTTATTTCGAATTGTGAAACTTTCAAAACTTGATTGTGGCACGCTCAACTTCCTCTTTATTTGTAGTGGTAGGTTGCAAACAATCTACTTTTTTTCTCTCAAAATTTTTCTTTCACTAAGGCAGGTTCTGTTGATGAAGCTTTTCACAAGTGTACTTTGTGATTTATTGTCACATTAAATTGGTGATTTTAATTTCTTATATTCTGTCACAAGTGAAATTAGGGCATAATTAGTACAGTATTTTGCAAGATCATGTATACTGTATACAGGGTTAGTCACGAGAGAATTACTTCTGAAAATTATTTTTACGCAACCCAAAATACGAATACCATGTACCATTTGATACTAACTGAATTTAAAATGAAATGCTTAATCCACGATTGCTTTGAGTTTGGCAATCTCATTTTGACAATTGTGGAAAATGAGGTTACGCGAGTGTCCATGGTGGTACCGCAGCCAGTCGGAAATCTCCTCCGGCGCCGCTAATAAATTTGTCAGTGTGCCTCTTGATCTTTTACAGCCGATTAATCACGAGAAAATTATTTCTAAAAATTCCTTTTACGGCATTTTATTCAAAGGTTACAACACAAACTCAAACAAGTAAGTAAATTATTTAACTACTAATCTGTTGAAAATGTTGGGCATTTTGGGGGGATGCTAAGGCTTTTTTGTAAATGGATGGCCGAAGAAGTCCAGAGGTTGCAGATTTGCACTTCGAAGAGGCTCTAGGTGACGCAGAGATGACGAATTAACACATGCACATTAGCGGCGAACAACATTGGTAGAGCACTTACGGCTTCAGTATAGCCCAGATTGATCTGACTGTATGTCGTCGATCCAATGGGGCTCTAGAGGCGAGTCAACGATGAAAAAAAAAATGTTAAAAATTAATTAACGTCAAAGTGACACTGCCAAAGTCAAAGCAATCATGGATTAGGCATTTCATTTTAAATTTAGATAATATCAAGTGCTAGAGGGTATTAGTATTTTGGGTTGCGTAAAAATTATTTTCAGAAGTAATTCTCTCGTGACTAACCCTGTATATTTACAACATTAAACATTAAAATTTTTAACTTACGAGCACAATAGTTTAAAAATTACTAAATATGTAAATAAAAGTTCTACCGTTTGATCTTAGTTCTATATGTAGAACAACCCAATAATTTAATCGATAAGAAACGGACCTAAATAAATAACAAATAAATAAAAGAGAACAGAACATTACCCCCATAGGTGCCGAAACACATCAATATTTTAATTTTTCTAAGCGCGGGTGGGTGTGCCGTGTTCTATTTAATTAATATTTTATTTACGATTGCTTAAATTTATTGTTTAGTATAAGACAATAATTCCCAATCAAATCAAATAAAAGCCATATTTTCCGGAACAAAATATCATTTTTCTCAAAACATAATATATCCAGAAAATTTTAAAAAATACCATCTTACGTACTCTTTTAGAATTATGAAACTACATACAAAATTTTGGAAAAAATCTATAACTCAGAACTACGAAAATTAATAAAAGTAATTTTTTTTGTCCTATATCCTGGAAAAAACAAAATTTAATAAAATGGAAGATAATTCTTAATTTTGTGACTTTTTTGGAAACACACGACTTTGAGTGAAAGTGAAACTTCTCTTATAGACTATAAAACCTTTAAATTTGCCCTTCTTTTTATATAAAAAAAAACGTAATTTATTAAAACGTTCCATCAATTTAATAATTAGCTACAGTACACACTGCACACAAACTAGTTGAAGGTATACATTAACTATGGTGTGAATTACTAAAATGAATTCCAAAGTATGGATAAGTAAATACAGTACATAATACTGTTGTACAGTTACTGCCTAGTGCAATTTTGGAGCAGTTATCTGGGGATTAACAAAAAGTATTCAGTGGGCATCAACTTGTACAATTAGCAATCACAAGCAATAGTTCAACAACACATTATTAATACCGAAAGTATGTATAAATCAAAAGACCCTGTTTCTCAATATTTTACAGAGTACCCTTAAAATAAATGACCAACCTTCAAATCTGGAATGTGAAACTTATAGTTCACCGAAAGTGAATTCTGTTTGCTGGTGAGATTGTTCATTGTCTCCCACGTTTGTTGGCATGTTTTGTCGCCTGGGGCGGATATCAACCAATATTCCGTCATTTGACTGGGTAAGATAATTGCTGCTTCAGAAGATCGAGTCAATTCTTTTCCACTGAAAAAGCACACAGTTTTAATTATTGATTTCCAGCACAGAAATAAAAAAATCCTCATAAATAACTAAGTCTGACCTTTTCGAAAAGAACTTCATCCCTATTAACTTAATTTTCACAGTTCAATACACCAAAAACCCAATAATACTGTTTCCATCACACATCACAATTTGTCATGTGACTTCAATTTAGGCAAACATTATTCCGTGAAAAACTGCGTTTTTGGGTGAGTTTTCCACGAAGGGATCATGACGTTTGTGGGATTACCACTGAACAACCCCCATAGTATTACCGCAACGAAGGGGTGCAACCTTCTGGTCTGGTTATGGCTAGGATGGTCGTTATTTAAAAATACCCACGAATTCCGAGGGGACGAGTGGCTAATTTCGTTAAATGGATAGTACGAGGTCAGTAAATAAGAGGGTTGTAATGGTGGTGTCAATATATTGAAATATTCAGCAGTGTTGTAAGGGTGATGCGGCCTTCGGGGTATTGATAATGTGGAAAAATTAATGGAATGAAGTTCTATTTATGGAGGATAATTAATTCTATTTACTTACAGTGTTTACACCTCACAAAAAGGGAAAACTACCCTTGCTAAACACAACCACTCCCCAGAAGACAGCTGATCTTTAGTGGGGTTTCACGTGATTTGACATGTTGCCATCTGTCATAGAGTTAGAAAGACGTTTGGATATGGTCGTCGCTACTGTTAACAGATGGCGCACAGACAACAAATACAAACCGCTCAATTCAAAATGGTGCAAAACTGGAGGAATTTGATTTGAAGTTTTATAAGAACTCCTCGTTGCGCTCATCGTGCAGCGAGGAGTGCGACAAAATAAATTTAAAACACGGCTCTTTTCAGAAATGTGACTATTAAATTACCAGAACTTTCTTGACCTCAGCGCACTTACTTTCTATGCGTCTAGAACCTCTTCAAGATATCGTCATTTTTCTAAATCCAGGAAGTGAAGTTATATACTGATGTCGAATTTATTAAGTTTCCTCCTTTCCGAATACAATTTTTCTAGAACCATTTTAAATTTATGTCGACTAATTTTTACTGCAGATGAAATTTCTAAATTCATTTTTTTGTTTCTGCTGTTTTTAAAATATGAAAATATTTCTGGTCCAAAACCTTTATAATTCTTTAATTATAATCCTACGTCGGCGTCGTCTAATGTAATTAATATTATTAGGTCCACCGTAGTTAGGTCTGAAATTTTATTTTCATGAGTTAGCTACGAATGATCTGAAAATTACTAGCAAATTTTCGTGGTGAATGTTGTCTCGCACATTGACAATTAAACTGTTCTCTCTTATAAGGCTATTTAGATCAGCCAGGTTATTCTGTTCTATTCGGCTGTAGTCCAAGTTCTATCATGTTTTCCGGTTTTGTTTTTTTGCAAACGTTTTTCTAGATATTACAAAATTCTTTCTACAGTCTCTGAATTCATTCTCAAATCTTTTAGAGTCCAATCTTACATTTCAGCTTAGATCATATAATAAATAGATACCAATACTCAAACTGAAAGCTGTGACTAGACATGAAGCTATCTGTTGTCGTTTTCTACGTCAAGGGGAGTAGTATAATGCTATCCTTGTGTGATCACCACATCTTCATCTTTGTTATATGCATTTCATCTGTATATGTCTATTTCACTTCCATCCTTGTACCGCACCAGCGCAACAAATCGCTTTTGACAGATGTTTCTTCTAACCTCTCTTTCGAGTTGTTGTACAAAAAACAATTTTAGAATTTAGAACAAAGATCCTATTTTAAGTGATGTAGTCACAAAGGATAATAACAATTGCTGCCCAATAATTTACTTTTCCTTTCGTTATCTACTGTGAATTATTTATAAAATCAAGCTGTCAACATCTTTCTTCCGAAGTTAGTTCAGACATACTTCCTAAAATTTAGGCGCGCAAAGTTCAAATAGTGATCAGGCAAGGATAGCTTCATTGTAATCCCTCCATGCACGAGAGAGATGTGTGACAGGCGGATGTCGTCACAGGCTGTCCTAGGGAAAGAACACGGCATGGTGGTATCTATTTATTATATGATCTAAGCATTTCAGTACCTTTTTTTTTAATTCTTTCAATTTCACACCTTTCTTGAAAACGAATATTATGTATCAGTCTAATTCGCTGTCCCTTTTTATACAATGTCCTAAAATCTTTGCAAAACATTATTTGTTATTTTCAGCATAAATCCTTCGCCGACGTCGAAATTCTTCTGTATCTTCTATTTAATACATTGAAATTCTCTAAAACTCCACTTTTTCCAATTCTTTAACGCTTATAAACAATTGGTCCTATAACTCGACTCTTCCGATAGAGTGATAGTGATTTATACCAAGATTATAAAGATTTAAGATTTTTATGAAATTTTATTACTTATTTATCCCGGAAATTATATAACAAACTTCTTTAAAAGTGTTGGACGTAAAGGCTTTGAAAACACCTTTTTTCGCGGCGGTTTTACAATTCCAAAAAACATTAAGGGCCGGTTGCATAAACGCAAATCAAATTTAATCTCTGATTAACTCCATAGTAACGATTGTTATTAATGTTATTATCATAGTTACAATTGTTCTTAATCAGAGATTAAATTTGATTTGCGTTTATGCAACCGGCCCTTAAACTTGTATTGAAGCTGACAAACGCATCAAAAAGTCACCTACCTTGTTTCGCTCAGCCTCCTGGGTTAAGGGTTTGTAGACCGCATGCACAAAGGAACCACGTGTCTAAGTTTCGCGACAACACTTCGCGATTGACGTCACATAAGATGGCAATTGGCAACTGCGTTCACTTAAGGCTCCTCCTTACAATTATTAAAATCTGCCGAAGTACGGCAAAACGCCACTTCCAATATCATCCTTACTATAGCACTTGAAGACTTGTGCGACATATCTACTTGTTCGTAATACGAAAATCTTCATGGAAATAGTTTTTATATTGCATTAAAGGCTTTCGTTTTTTTAATAAAAAATAAAAACAGAAAAACTTATTTTTCTTTTTGAGCCAAAGCTATAACGTATTTTGGCTTAAAAAAATCTGACAGTGTAGATAATATTATTGCTCACCTGGGAATAAAAATTATTTTTTCGTTAAACCATCCATTTTTTAGTTATTGTTGATTAAAGCAAGACCTAAAAAGGGCATTTTTTGTAGATGTAGGCAACCAAACATTTTCTTTCGACAAGAACGAGCCAAGAAAGTGTATGATTCTATGATTTACGATAGGGGTTGGCCACTATTGAGAGATTAGATGGATTTAAAACCCTTGTTGAGAAAGTATGCAAATGAGGTGACCGTAGTGTGTTCTACCTGAAGGTTGTGGAATCGTACAATTATGTAGGAGTATTATATTAATTCAATTCCGGAATAACAAATAAATAACCGAGTTTGGATTTTTTACAAAACTGACTAACCTGCTTCAACAGCTATAATTACTGCTGATCCCAAGTTAGACAAATTTCAAAATCATCATGAATCAATGAATATGAATAGAATACAATAAACTTATCCAAAGCAAATTATGAAGATTAAATAGTTATTTGGCAAATCAGCAACTTGGTCCTATAATAAAAAAAGATTTATGATTTACAGACCATTATTTATTTTTATATAATTATATTTATTGTGGTGACCGAATTTAAATCAAAGTTTTCGCGCTGAAATTAATTAACAGCGGCGCGAAATCACATTTGAATAATTTGAATTTGAAAAAAAAAAATTCAATCACGAAAAGGGAATCGTTAAACATAGGCAACCAAATAGACATGTCGGGTTAATGCATTATCTTTGCGTTAGATGGCAGCACGTAGGGCTAGGGAGATTTCAGTTAGAGGGTTGGTAGAGAAGCTGCATGGCGTAGAATGATTCATTAGGAATGTGCTTGTGTGAGTGTAACCACGTGGTAAGCGCTAGGTTTAAATTAGTTGGTTTGGAAGTTAATTAAATGGGAGGAAGCCTTTGTTTAACGACAATCACACGTATTTTTCATAATGATACAGTTGTCCCCAACCCGCGCGGTTAATTCTTGCGCCCTTTTAATCGAAAATTGCAGACTTCCGGTCGGACGCGAGAAACCACGTGGTGTAAATTTGTTTCTTTGTTTGTAAATTCACCAATCAAGCTAGTTTTTCTTAATACTCAGCTAGAGCAAACACAATTTAACAATCAGGATTATTTAAGTAAACCATTTGCTAGAAGATTTCATGAAAATCACTTAGTCAGGAAAAACACCTTGTGTTTAATTATGAATAGGTCTCTGGATGCATATACGTAAGTGTTACATTATAACACTTCTAAATTCTTCACACAAGATTGCTAATAGTTCATTTACGGCAGTTAAACAAGTTCATTATACTGCGGACTGGCGGGGGGGGTTATGATATTTTCTCCCCTTAGGTGGTTATCATCGTTATCACGATTAATTCATCGGGGCATGCTTCACGACGCCAGATTGATTAATTGATCAAGGCATGCCCCAACGCTACAGAAAATTTACATTACCGAGACGCTATTTCCTCGCAACGATTTTGGAATTTACATTACCGAGACGCTTTTTCCTCGCAACGATTTTGGAATTTACATTACCGAGACGCTTTTCCCTCGCAACGATTTGGAAATTTACATCCCCGAGACGCTTTTTCCTCGGAGCGATGATTGGATATTTTTGTATTTGTTTATTATGTGTTTTGTTGGGGTAACCAGTTCGTAGTATTTTAAACGCTCAAAGTAAATTATTTTTGAAGTAACCAATCACTTAGATCATGACATAATTTGATATAATGTAAACTCTTTGTTTGAACCGTTGATAAAGTGTGGCAAAAAATTTAACCTCATGTAAATTTTGTTAACTCTGCAAATTTCCACCTCATACAATATTTCGTTAATCTCACAATTTTAACCTCAGTAATTTTATTTGTTGTATAATTTTAATGGAACGTAAATTTCCCGTTCTACAGTTTTAACCTCACATAATGTTTCTGTTTGTACAAGTTTATTTCACACCAGATCTTTTGTTGCATAAATCCTTACTAAGTGTTGTTTTGTAAATACTTTGTTGATGAATGTTTCTATCGTATAAATTATTTGATGTCCAACTTTAATCTCACATAAGAATTATTTGTTGTTTAAAATTTCACAAGGTTGTATGGCGAATCTAAATGTTGTTTATTGCTCTTTGACACTTTAACACTTGTTCAGTTGTTGTTAATATCAGAGTTATAAGAGATTGAATATTTTAAAATGGAACTGAGGTTAAATAACACAGAAAACGTGGCAGAAGCGAAGTTCGGTTCCTAGTCGAGCTGGCGAGATTTATCGTGCCACCTGTACAAGTCCACAGGTTTGGATAGATTCAGGGGCGGCCGCCGACGTTGTAAATTTCTCAGCTTCTGTACATAGCTTAGATCTCTTGCGGGTTGGACGACCGTAATGGCCTAGTTCCGCAGGGCACAGTTCGTCATGGGATATGCGTGTGGGGTAGGCTTTGCGATAGATCGAATCACCGTCGCGGGGGGAGAACAGTTCCAGACCGGTAGCCCAGACTCCGCTTATGCTACAACGCTCCAGGGGTACTTTTGTTGTGCTCCTGTTAACTGCCGTAACTAAAAAAAAAGGAAAAGGAGATCGGCCGCCACACGCCTGCAATAAC